ACATGACTTTGGGTTTACTGTATCATCTTAGAGGTCTTTTCCAACTGTAACGGTTCAATGATTCTGTACGTTGGAAAACAGCTCCTGGCTGAAGGAAATGGCTGGAATGGGCAGTGCCCTGCATGCTGCCAGGATAACCCTGAGCTTCTGACTCAGCTTCCTGGAGGGAAGCTGTCACCCCAAACAGGTCAGAAGGACACGGCAGTTTTGTCTCGACACAGAGCCTTTTCCCACTTGCTTGTACTTCGCTTCCTTGTGGAATTGAAAAACTGCACTGAAGTCAGGACAAGTGAAGCGAAGCATTCAGGCTGCAGGCAGCACAGTCTCGCTGCTGATTTAAAACTGAACTGTGGTCACCACAACAGTGAAGGGAATGGAAAGACAAGCACCTCTAGTTAAGACAACGTTGTTTGTAATTACATGTGCATGTAAGGCTTCCTGTGCTGTATTTTGTAGGAACAGCTATGAAAAGGCCTTGTCCCAGAATGCTGGAATAAGTGAGAGAGTTACACAGAGCTAGAAATAACAAGCTAGGAATAGATTTTGTCCATAGGTACACGGGAAGCTTGTGGCACCTCTTGTCAGCGAAGTCAGATGGGCTGAGACCTGGCACAACATCTCCAGCTGAGGTAATTCCCAGAGCATCCAAAATCTCTCTCTGAAAAGTCACTATTTGATGTGCACACCTTCAAAACATACTGGGTTACAATTAAAGAACTGTCCAGAATTCTGGCAGTTTTAGCCCCACCTCCCCAAGATATTCCCCAAGAATATAAATTGATTCCCCTCCCCAAACTTGCAGCCAATAAGGCAAATCTGGGATGCTGTCCCAGTCTTGATCTCCACTCGCTGGCCTCCTCTCTCATGCTGACAGCAGTCTTCAGTTTCCCAATTATTCTTATTCTTGCTCATGCCCCAGATGATGAGTCCCCACACCCCATTACTGTTGAACAGTTTCATTTCAAGTCAATAAAAACTGGCTCCCGCTTGTTTGCTCTCCCCCAGGGCCTATATCTGCCCCTAACCTTTCTGGATGTATCAAGGTCTTGGGATTCATATCTGAAACCAAAAATAACCTTTAGGATGCAGAGGTCATCTTCCTCAAGAGGCCTCTTGATCCCCTAGCTTTTTAAATCCCAGGGTCAACTTTGTTGGGTTCATGGCAGAAATACGAGTAAAGCTTGGGCATGCAGTGCTAAAGTTAGATCCATGGTCTCTTCAAACCGAAGTACTGAGCACAAACAAGCCCTCTTCCCACTCTTCTTCAGCTGTGATCCGAGTGATTCACACCCAGAGGCTTCAGAGTGGCTCGAAAACCCCCCACTTTTCTCTGAGCTGCCTCCATTCTAGGAGCTCCATTCTAGCTGCCTCCCCTAGGTCTAGTCAAAGGGAAATGGCCAAAGACACCCAAAATCTGGCAGCTTATGGTATTTAGCAGCATCTCCCTCCAGTTCGCCTGGCAGAGCAGCCATATCACAGGGGCAGCTGTCCAAAGAGAAGCCTAGGGACAAGTTTTGCTTAGAAAACTGTTTCAATTCCTGAAGAGGACCAGTATTAAGAGAGAAGAGGAAACATGGAAACTCACAAGGGCACTCCGTGATGTGCTGCGCCTCAGACCAGCAGCACCTGGCACCGAGAGCCACCTCAGCACATTCTTCTCTCACCATGCTGCTCGTAGTCATCTCCCACAGGTTGCTCTAGGGCTGTTTAGATCGGCCTCTGTTCCCGTATGCGACAGAAGTCAGCAAGTCCTTAAGGTGTGCAGTGGTTGTAGGAACAGATTGTCACAGACAGCCGTCACGCTGGAGGAAAGGGAAAGCTTCCCTACCCTCGCTTCTGAGCACCCGCCTGTACTTGCGTTCTGAGTCTCTCCCTTTGGAACAGGCAGCGACTGCTGCAGCTACACAAGATGTGTGACACAGCACGGATGGGTGAAGTCATTAAAACTGGACTCTGTAACAAGCCCATGGTACATCTCAAAGCCACTCTCACTGCTCATTCGTGCCACAGTGAACATATGAGACACAGCTGTTCAAGTCCCATCACAGAAGTGACAATGTGAGTCAATCTAGATCCCACAGAAAGCAGAGAGCATGGTGATAAGCTTTTGGTAAGCCAGTTGTGGATCCCGTGCCCAGATCACTACCACAAAAGAAACAACCAAAGAATTCAAAGTTTATTCTTTAAAAAAAGTTATTTAAGAAGCAAAATAATTTACTTCAACTCAAACCAGAAGAGATGCATTATTGAAAGCAAATAATTATACAAAGTAACAACAAATTAGCCCTTGGATAAAAAGTCCAGATCCCAGCAGTTCCCTACAGTCCTGGAGGTTTTACACGGTTGCCCAAGGCTTGGCGAGTAAAAGAGCAGCACGCACAGGATCAGGACGTCACTCCAGTTTCTGCCCTCCCCAGGCCTGAGGTTGCCAGTCAGGACAGTGAAGTTGGCTTGGCACTAACGTGGTGTTGTGCTGTTAGTTCTAAATAACAATTGGACTAAAGCTACAAAACCACCTTTTCTAGGGACATGTCTTGTACAAAAACTCCTGTGCTTATCTTCTAAATCATTTTCCCAAAAGTTCTGGTACTTTCGTCCTTCCACAGTTCTCTCTCGGTTGCCACCAAAATCAGGGATCTCTTATACAGGCAGCTGGAGTACAAAGTACAACCGTTCACTTGATACCCACGACTTTGCATCACTCACTAGATTGGAAACTAGAATAATGCAGACAGGAGCACCACCTGGATAGGTCAGCTCTGCAGCATCCTAAAAGCTGATACATCCTCCTCCGAGGTTCCAAAAGTGAAATATGTACTGACCTACCCTTACCAGGTCGTCTTCCCTTTTCAGACTTTAGACAGCCCAAGAGAAAGGAAGCACCAAAGAGAAAGTAGATGTGTTTGCCAGTTCCCATTCAGTTCTGAGAATTCACTTCTGGAGTTACAGCTAGTACATTTGTAATGACAACCAGAAATGTCCTGCAATGTAGGGAATTATGATGACGAACCTCCATCCAAAAGAAGTCATTTCCCATACTTGACCACACAACCTTCAGACATCAAACACCAGCTGCAAAAGGTGTCCTGTGGCCACAGGAACAGGCAGTCATGCTCTGGACTCTGCAATAATCATAACACAGACACAGACCCAGGTGACAAGATCTCACCACTCAAACATACTGCAAACTCCACGCTGCTGCCTTTCCAAAATGCTGGGTCTGTGTCACCAGATGTGTATCCCAAAAGCTGTCATTTTCCACGTGTAATTTTATTAAGCAGACAAGAGTGTGTCACACATCTCTTTAAACGCGGGCAGTCACCTCCTGCCACAGAGCTCAAAGGATGCCTTCACAAATAACTTCTCTCCTTGCACCAAATAAAATCACTGCTTGCTGATTGCCGGCATGGCAGCTTGCAGTGAGGGTAATCCTGTCACGTTTAACTTGCAGGCATGAATTAATTTGAGTCACAGCCAATGCTGTCCACAATGCTGCCCATCCCTGTGTGTGTTGCTGGAAAAAGAATGTTTCACATCGAGATACGGTATTTTTAATTCTTATCAGTGTTGCATCAGTCAAGGGTCAAATAAATTGCAAAAAATACTTGTAAGGATTATCATGGATAAAGAAAACATGATGCAGATGGATCCTCTTCATTCCAAGAAGAGAATTAAGAGTGGAAGTATTGAAGGAAGCAATGTTAAAAGGAACAATTTATTCTCTCAGTATTTATCAATTTCTAATTTCCATTTGAAATGGAGACCTCCAAATTAATATGAATCTGGCACCAACAAACTGAAATTAAGCCTCTTGCAACTCCCCTGCCCGCGCTGGTTCAGCGGACTGGCTGAACGCTCCCTCTGTTGGCTGAGGGCTCGTGACCCCTCCAGCAGACCGGACCTGGGGATCCAGCTTTGCTGCAGGATACGCTCTGACCGCACGGGACTGCAGCCAGGATCAGCAGCACGTGGGGAAGGACAGCATTCAGGGAACACCGGCAGGGTCTGCAACAGCGACCGCCCTTGTGCGTCCCCACTGCGGGAGGTGACGTTCTGTGCAAGGAGGAACTCACGCGGGAATCCTCGCTAGAACGAGCCCAGAGCTCCCACCAGGGCACCGCACCCGTCCTGCGCAGCCGTCCTGAACTCGCCTCCTTCCTCATTTTGCAAGGATGCTGCAATCAGAAGCCAGCTCAGTTTTCCGTTACAGCTCGTCGCCTTCTCCCCTCAGCCTGGACGTGCCAAGTCCGTGTCAACCACTGCACCAAATACAGCCAGCCTGAAACCCCCCACTCCTTCCCTGCCAAGGAGACCCACCAGTTTACAGAGAGACATTTTGAAGAGACCATGTTTACAGTCTGGTGGTAAGAAAATAATTCAGAATAAAATAAATTGCAAGTTACAGACAGTACTGAATAACAGCTGTCCAGACTAACTAACCTCCAGTTACTAGACTAACTATTGAGAGGCTGCCCATAAATGTTGGCAGTTAATGTCAAAAATTAACAGCTGACTAATTTGGTCCAACTCGGAAGAGATCTGAATGCTGCAGAGATCAATACGGCATATAAACAGTTCCACCCACAAAGAAAGTAAAAAACAGATGTAGTGATGTCCCCCTCCCTGGTTCAAGAGCCTCACAAGTGCCTGCTGGACCTGCCAGTCCACAAACTCCCGTTTCAGTATCCTGTGGCAGAGATCACCCACACAAGACTTGCCTGCTTAAGACAATGAGCTCCCAAGAAATTCCAGTCCTTGGGGTTTTCTTCAACCCAAGGGAACAGGGATAGCTTCAGATCTTCTTAGCAAACAGGCACTTACGTTAGGAAAGGTATCTCCTTTTTATTACAGAAAATGAAGGATCAGTGAAGTGGTACTCCTGGCACAAAGGAGATGTTGCAAACACGCTGCGTGGGTGCGCAGCGAGCAGATACCAATCTGATACGTGACAGGAGCTCATGGTGGCAAAACCATTTCTGACACTACCTGCCAAGCAATGGTCAATGCCACTCCTCTGACAGCACTGCAAATCAGCATCCAATAGAAAGGGGACAAACATCACTTCTAGCTTTTACTCTAGAGGTAAAGTGTCATCTTTTTCACAGCATTTAGTCTCTGTAGTTCACTTTTCTTGTGACTGGTTTTCCTCTTGAACAAACGCAGGTAACACAGTGAGAAAAGAATCCCAGTACATCAAGAGATGCGGCTGCTCCGTTAGCTGAGCAAGGAGGTAGACGCCATAGATGTTTCTCTTCAGATGGAGCACAGAAAAGGACCTTGTGCTAGTTTACTGGTACCAAGATTCTGGTCACTGGCACCAAAATACTGCAGGGCATCAGCATGAGACGCAATACAGTAGCATTGAGGCTCGTCCAGCAGCTACATCTGAACCACGTATTCTTGGCATCTGGAACAGAAAGGCATCTCCAATTAGCTGCTGCCCAACAGCACAGTGCACGTCCTGAACTGGTCTGGTTTTACAGTGATGAGCAACACCTTTTAGGTAACTGCTGAAAAGAATTTCACTCAGTGAAATTCACTGTTTCACTCCTAAACTTCATTGCTTGCATTACTTTATTTGGCTGATCTTCAAACAGCACATATACCAGGGGAACACAGCTCATAAGCTGAAGGCAATCAATCATTAGCAAACGGTGGCTGCAGAATTGCACACACTCCTCCTTCTAATTCAGGTGTTTCTTGTGTACAAGACAGAAATTACACATCCTCCAAACAGTCAAAACAGGCTCCCAAAGGAAGGAGACACTGACAAGAATGACACAGAAGTTACAAGCTGTCAGTTCAGTGGAAAGCCACAGGCTACAGCCAAAAAGTTGATGTGAGTGGAATTTCCTTTTCTTGAGCTTTGCTCTCTACTTACAGGGGGGGAAATAAAAATTCTGGTGAAGTAATTAATTGTAGGATCTAAATCTCTGGGTATCAACAGGTTGTATAGCAGGGAAAAAATCCAACTGTATCAACAACTGAACAACTTACAGGCAAGAAGAGAACGAAAAGCTTCAATGACCGCTCACCTTATCACATCACAACGCAAGACAATCCCAAACAGCCTTGATTCCCATCTTCATTGCTGTTGAGCTTTTTCATCCGGTACTGCCGGATCTCTCTCACCAGTGTGTAAAAAGCATCTTCCACACCCTGAACACAAATGATCCACGTAAAGCATTTTCTTTGCTGAAGCTTTTGAGATCACTGTTCTCTCCGCCACAGGATCCCTTAACACGTTTGAAAGACACTTCTACAGGAAGAGCAGCAGCCAACTTCTCCCATAAGAGGAAGAAACAAGCACTTACACCCAAAACTCTCCATTTAAACTCCTAACTTTTCCTCTGAGGCAAACATCCATTTATCAGCCATTAAAAGAAACAAGGCAAATTGTAACTGCAGAGAAGTCCCATGCAGGAAACAACCTACTTCTTGACCAATCCCCTCCGTTTCAGAATTCTTAGCGTTTTCTGGCTATTGCTTGAAAACTGCACCTTTTCTGCCTCGTTCCACACTGATGTAGGTAGAGCACAGGCTGACTGGACAGAGCCACGCATTCAGTGCAGCTCTGAGGAAGTCTTAGTCCAGCCTGGGGAATTCTTTCTGTAAACACAATCTCATAATTGGCCTTCATTAAGAAGCCAAGAAAACCGAAGAGGCCTAGGAGGACCGGCCGCACGGTGTGACCACTGTCAGCAAGAGCAGACGAAGCTCTCTTCTTCTTACAAACACGACCCACTTGAAAGAAAGTCGACACCAGTCTGAAGTGGTTTGTGTACTCGCCTGGCCCAGCAATAAAACCAGAACTCTTTCAAGCTAAGGGTGAGCAGGGAAATCAAAAGCTAAAAATTGGAAATGGATTAAAAAATGCTTAATCCTGCAGATAAGGAAAAAAGGACATGGGAAAATCTTAGAGTGTCTGCATCTACCACACAGGAAGAAGTCAGCCCAAGCGTGGCAGTACCTTACCTGTCTTGTTTTAGCAGATGTCTCTATGAAGGGGATCCCATAGCTTTTTGCTAATTCTTGAGCCTGTTTTGTGTCTACTGTTCTTGTGGGCAAATCACACTTATTCCCAACTAGCACCATTGGCACATCATCCGAATCTTTCACTCTCTTGATCTGTTCTCTTTAAAAAGACAAATAAAAAAAGGGTTAGGAACTATTTTCTAAATAGAAAAGCTGCTTTAGTTCACTATGCAAACAATCTTGTCCTACAAAAAACCCTGCTAAAGCTGGACAAGAGCTCAGGGGTTCTAACCCACAGCAGTGTGGCCAGTAGCTCCACACACTCCACCTTCCAGTCCCTGTGTAACCCCACTCTGAGGTGTGTTTGCCTCCTTACCCCTTTTCTCAGGGATCACGTTCTGTGTGCTCTAAATATCACCTGATGAACACAACCCAGAGCCAGAGAACTGTCCCACTTTCGACTGACTAATCAAGCACAGACAGAGAACACAGAGAAGGCTGAAAAACTTGCTGAAAGTGGGAGACTGACTGTTTGTCTGTTATTTGGACACTGGGTCTAATACCAAATGGGTCTGATGCCTTTTCCCAGTCTCCCCTCCCTGTGGTAAAGACCCAGCTCATACCTGTAAAGGTTAATATCAGCAAATGATTTACTGTTGTTAATGGCAAAGACGCAGAGGAATCCTTCCCCAGTTCTCATGTACTGATCGCGCATGGCGCTGTACTCCTCCTGGCCCGCAGTGTCCAGGATGTCTAACAAGCACGTCTCTCCATCAATGACAACCTGCTTTCTGTACGAGTCCTGCAAAATACACAAGTGAATCGTAGATTACAGAAAAACACCGAACTAATGCTTTCCACCTCAGACGTTATTAAGGAAACCAGAAGTAATAACAAGAGACGACGATTCTAGTCCCCCGCCACCAGTCTCTAAACCTAGCAACATTTAAATCGTTACTTGAAGCCCCCTCAACTTTCTTACAGAAGAAAAGAAGTCTCGTTCTTTGCCAGAAATTCCTCAACTGGCAGACGGAAAGCCCCGTTACGGATCCCCCCACCACAAGGCCATGACCGGACCCTACAACCCGCGGAGCCCGGCGGTGACTCTGCTGCACTGCGAGGG